TCTAATGAAAAACAAAATAAAGACTAAATGTAACTTAATTTCTAAGAGAGACGCCACGCAAGCAGAGACTCTCTGTAAGAATATCTTTGTAGTCATTTCTCTATCTCTCTCTCTCTCTCCCTCCCTCTGCATACTTGTAAAACGGTACATTAAATTGAAGCTGCAGATAGTAAAGATTTTTTGTCTATAACTGACTGTACCTAGAGTCTAGTATTTCGAAATTATTTCATGAACCTTTGTGCCATTTTAATAGTCAATCAAAATTATAATGAATCATTTGACAAAAATTTAATAGATGAATGGGGGGGGGGGGCTGTATATAATAAACAGTTTAGCTTTTAATAAAATTCTGAAATACCTACGTACGATCCCTTTTTCACTTTCAATTTATAAGACTTTTGTTATTGAAATGTTGTAAAAACCTAAAATCGATTTCTTATAAGGTACATGTCTCCTAAATCCATACATGTTTCAGTCAGTGCAAGTATTTATTATTCTATAATTTGTGTTATTCTATTCTTTTACGCGCTAGAATTATATACATATTTGTACGCAGTGGACAATGTTTCTATTTTTTGCGCCTGCGCAATGCAGCGTTGTCAAGGACTTAGTCCTGCGACTAAGCGTATCGTTTACGACTAGACTTACGCCACTTGGTGAAACGCAAATTACTCCTGACTAAATTTTGGCGTAAGTCCCGGAAGTACACCTAAGTTAAGGCTTAAATCTACGACCTTTGATGAAACGGGCCCCTGGTCTCGAGATCCGATTTGGTACTCAAGCACTTGGAATTAACAAGCCCAAGTCGATGATGAAGGAAATGTGTGCGGCCGGTGGTTTAACAGGCAACTTTACAAACCACTCTGGTAAAAGAACCTGCGCAACTCAGATGTATTTGTCCGGAATCGATGAGCAAGAAATAATGGCGCGTACAGGTCATCGTTCGGAGAAAGCTGTCCGAAAGTACAAGAGATCGTCTGATAAAATACTTGAAACAGTTAGTTCCGTACTGGATCGGCCCGCACCAAAGAAGATCAAAGTTGAACCACCGACTTGTTCTTTAAATGCCGCTACAGCTGCTGAAGACGAACCCATGGAATTTGATGTGAAATGTTCTAATAATTCCATTTCTCGTAGCACAAGAAACCCAGGAAACAGGAGTGTTCTCTCGGAAATTACTGAAAAAGCTCTGTTTCAAAATTGTCAATTTTCTTTCAATTTCAATTGAATTTGAATAATCCCTGTATTAAATTTGTGTTATGCAATGTTCTTTATAATCAACGTGTTACATGTACAATGTAAGAAGCAAGTACAGCACTGTTTATGTTCGAGTTATTGAGTTGACGAGATTTTGAATCTATGATATTGTCATACTTTGTTTAAATTTTATGTGTTTTCAAAAGTTAAAAATTTTATTTGTTTAGAAAATAAAATTAATTCAATCAAAAAAGAGTATTTTGAAATTTCATCATTGGGAAGTTATTGAACAGTACAGTGGAAGTTATAGAACAGCTAAGCTCCGCCTTCTAGAAGTTACAGTACAGTATACTGGAAGTTATAGAACGGCTAAGCTCCGCCTCCTAGAAGTTATAGTATGCTGGAATTCAGCCAAAGGTTTTCTATCTGATTTAAAGTACGACTAACATCAAAGGAAAAAGTACCCCACCATGACACAATTCAATTTGCAAAAGGCTTCAACAATAATAAAAAAAAATAAATTTCCAGTCACCGCATGTAATCTTGTTGACCAAACGTATACAAGAACAATTTTCACAATCTCATTACCATATTACTCGGTATTCGGTGATTGGATGTCTGATTTCAATGAAATCAATACTACTTTGCATATGAAGTAAAGAGTCTATCAATATCTCAATAATACTGACCAATAACATTGAAGGACTGTTTCCACCAACAGGGCATTTGTACATGTAGTCAGAAGGAACACGTTGTCAGTCAAAACCCGTTCTCTGTCCCCCTAAAAGGATGTTTCATATTTGTTAAAATTTAACAGGATTAAGTTAATTAATACGTATAAAAAAAATAAAACATGGAATTAGTAATGCCATTCTACCATGAAGCGTTCTCAATCGAGTGACCATAGTAACGGTAATCTGTGGTCAATGGAGTGGTAAAGTGTGAAAGCTATTGCTTCCGGAAATATTTGAAACTTTTAACTTTTCGTTTCCCACATTTTAATGTTTCTCATCTCCGACAATTTTTAGGGAGTGTTTTTCGGTAATGACAGCAGGATTGAAGAATTCACCCATGAAAAAATTTAAAGAATGAATTATACTGTATAGTACCTGTATATCAAATGTCTTGGAAATAAGTTCAGTGCAGTCACTGACATTTAATTTAGTAAATATTAAATGTATTGAAAAATTGCATGCTGCTTGAACTCTTTTAACTTGACTTAGTATGTGCAACGTATAATACACATATTTTTTTTAATATGTCTTGATTAATATTTTGAAAAAAGTTGTTTGAAATATATTCTTTTAAAATTCCATTTCCACCTACTTGGTAAACATTAAATTGTCGGAGGGGTGCTTAATAATGTCGGTAATGAAAAAAATGTCGGAAATGAAAAGAAAAATGATCGAAAATGAAACTAGAGGTACTGTGAGCAATGAGCTCACTAAATGATACCCCCGCCTCCCATATGAATAAAACGGCAGTGTCCATGTTTTGCTGTGGGATCCCAAAATATGTGTCGAATCAAAAAGTAAAATTAGGAGGTGCACAATGGCAATACGTAAAAGCCCAAATATATGTTGTGGATTAAATTTCGTCTATTTCGTTGTTAACAATTTTCAACGAAATTAAATCCCACACGAAATTTTATATGTTTATGTATTGAATAGGGTTACTTTCAAAACAACGAAATTTAATGTCAACGAGACTATTTTTGATGACAAATCAACGAATTTTACCCCAACGAAAATTTGTGCTTCTACAATATGTAAAAAAGATTCTGTGAAAGTTTCATCAAATTTCATTCAATGGTATGAGAGGAGTTGCGGATAAGAGATGGGTACCTTAAAGCGTAACAGACGGACGGACGGACAGCTAGACAGACGGACATACCGATTACTATATAACCTCCCGCAGAAAAGCGGAAGGTATAACTAGAGGTACTGTGAGCAATGAGCTCACTAAATGATACCCCCCGCCTCCTATATGAATATAATGGCAGTGTCCATGTTTTGCAATGGGAAACCCAAATTATGTGTCGGATCAAAAAGTAAAAAAGGAGGTGCATAATGGCAATATGTAAAAAAGATTCTGTGAAATTTTCATCAAATTTTATTCAGTGGTATGAGAGGAGTTGTGGATAAGAGATGGGTACCTTAAAGCGTAACAGACGGACGGACGGACAGCTAGACAGACGGATATACCGATTACTATATAACCTCCCGCTGAAAAGCGGAAGGTATAACTAGAGGTACTGTGAGCAATGAGCTCACTTAATGATACCCCCGCCTCCTATATGAATATAATGGCAGTGTCCATGTTTTGCGATGGGAAACCCAAATTATGTGTCGGATCAAAAAGTAAAAAAGGAGGTGCATAATGGCAATATGTAAAAAAGATTCTGTGAAATTTTCATCAAATTTTATTCAGTGGTATGAGAGCCATTGAGAGAAGTTGCGGATAAGAGATGGGTACCCTAAAACGTAACAGACGGACGGACGGACATACCGATTACTATATACCCTCCCATTCTCAAGCTAGGGGTTTAATAAAAGATGTCGAAAAATACTTCAGATTTCCGAAAATAAAACGCAACGACCAGTTTACACAGACGCAACTTGTAAGTGTATATTTATACCCCCCGCTTGAAAAGCGGGAGGGTATATAGTGATCGGGATTTCCGTCCGTCCGTCTGTCCATCTGTACGTCCGTCCGTCCGTCTGTTACGCTTTTTCTCTTATCCGCAACTCCTATCATACTACTGAGTGAAATTTAATGAAACTTTCACAGAATCTTTATTACATATTGCCATTGTGCACCTCCTATTTTACTTTTTTATTCGACACGTATTTCAGGTTTCCCAGAGCAAAACATGGACATTGCCATTTTTTGTTTACCTATGACGTCACATAATAGAAGCTTCTGGATAACATTTCATAGGACGAGTTATTCCTCTTTAAACATTACCGTAAAACAATAAAAAGCAACACATCGACATTATGGGAAGCGGGGGGTATTATTTAGTGAGCTCATTGCTCACAGTACCTCTAGTATACTGGCGTGTGTAAACAATAAGCATGGTATCCATCGCTCCACGTGCAAGTTTACTATTAATTCTTTTTCAGGCCCACATATATTCTATTTTTATGGGACGTGTTGGGGGATCTCTATTTTTTCTTTTCAAATGCTGTATTTAGCCCGACTTTGACATAACAGCGACAAGAAGTGTGTATGAAAGGGGGGGCAAGCAGTATCTAATAAAGAATTTTTACATATCAAAACTTAACTCAGAAATAAATGGAGAAAGAAGGAAAGGATTGGAGCCCCCCCTCAACCCCCCCCCCCGCTTTCCTGCCACCCTCACCGCATCTCCGCGTGTAACAGGCATGTTAATTGTCTTATCAATCGTCGATCGATGTTAAGAAATTTAAAATAAATCGAAATTGTAATCTATTAAACTGAAGTAAAACACACTAAAAATGGCAAAATTCTTGTTAATGTTTTTATACTGTAAATCACTTTTTATTCGCGAGAACTTTATTTTCGCGTAATTACGCGAGATAGTGTGCTCGCAAAAATTTTGTTCTCGCGTATAATAGTATTCCTTAAGATTATATAGAGCAATAACCACAATTCGTGAAAATTTTGTCTCGCTTATCAAGAGTCAATGACTATCTCGCGAAAATAAGGTGTCGCGAAAATTAAGTGATCTACAGTACCCCCTGCTTGAAAAGTGGGAGGGTATGTAGTGATTTGGATGTCCGTCTGTACGTCCGTTTGCTACGCTTTGTAGTACCCAAAGCACAAACATTTAACCTGACGAAAATAAGTGATTTTACAGTGTTAAAATGTTTCCTTTTCTTGGAAGGTGTTATGGGACCAGACGAATATCATTTCAACATCAATAACTCAGTTTTTACAAACTACAATGCAAAACTCAGCCTGGAACTACCAAATCTTCTTCACAAAAGGTAAGGTCAAAATACTATAGTAATGTTGAACCTAGATATCTCGTACACAGATATTTCGAATACAATGAATAATAATTGTAATTTTTAAGTAACGGTTTCTGTTTTGCTATGACGAAGATTTTCTATAAGTTATTGAAGTTGCACAGTATCGTGCTTATAAAATACATTATAGTTGACGTTAGCTTTGTTCGAAATGACTTTAACAAAACTTTTCTCAATTTTTCTGACCTTCACATTTAGACAACTGACTCCAGTGAACCAGACGGAAGTGGATGAGTTAATGGAGGTCAGCAAGAAGATCAGGATTCTGTACGACCGACAAAGAGACTTTCATCCTCAGTATGACTCGTTCTCACTCGCAGGTTTGTCTTCCTTTCAACCATTCGTGCATTACGGGTTGGGGAAGGGGGAGGTGTCAAAATTTGATGTCTTAATCGGTAAAAAATATCTATTTTATAATTTTTATCACCCAGAGAAAATCAAACAGTCAGATGTTGTCTTACTCGGATTTCCTCTCCAAATGCCAATGTCCAGGTCAACAAGAAAAAACGACTTAGAAATTTATGAAAATGTAAGTGAAGAATAACTTAATTGTATCAAAATAAGTGATTTCAAAATAAAAAATTTCCAGAGAAATTGCATAAATTATTTATTTCATCGTAAATGATCTAAACAAAGGTTACAGATAAATATGGACCTGATACAGGCACCTGGAGCATGCACACTGTAGGTTGGTTGGAGCTAGGACAACCCCAGAGGGCTTACGAAAACTTCAAAATGATGTTCCGAAACATCAACGGTCCTTTTAAGGCAAGTCTTAAAACGATACATTGCTTTATTTATTCGTCATTTTTTAAACCATAATGATACAAGAGGCCCAGGGGCCACAGCGCTCACCTGAGCACATCAGCTAGGAAAAAACACATCAGATCAGAACTGAAAGTTAATTTAAGTTGGGGGGGGGGGGGGGGGCTTGAATTTTAACCCCCAAGGGGATCATAATTTGAACGAACTAGAATCTACATTACCTGAGGATGATTCCATACAAATATTACTAATCCTGGCTTTGAAGTACTTGAAAAGAAGATTTTTAAAGATTTTTCCTATATATTCCTATGTAAAATTTTGATCGGCCATTTTGGCCCCGCCCTACCCCCGGGGGTCATGACTTGAACAAACTTGAATCTACTCTACCTGAGGATAATTTCACATGAGTTTCATCTTTCCTGTTTCAATGGTTCTTGAGAAGAAGATTTTTTAAGATTTTTTCTATATATTCCTATGTAAAACTTTGATCGGCCATTTTGGCCCCGCCCTACCCCCGGGGTCATGACTTGAACAAACTTGAATCTACACTACCTGAGGATTATTCCACATGAGTTTCATCTTTCCTGTTTCAATGGTTCTTGAGAAGAAGATTTTTTAAGATTTTTCCTATATATTCCTATGTAAAACTTTGATCGGCCATTTTGGCCCCGCCCTACCCCCGGGGTCATGACTTGAACAAACTTGAATCTACACTACCTGAGGATGATTCCACATGAGTTTCATCTTTCCTGGCCCAGTGGTTCTTGAGAAGAAGATTTTTAATGATTTTTCCTATATATTCCTATGTAAAACTTTGATTGGCCATTTTTGCCCCGCCCTACCCCCGGGGGTCATGACTTGAACAAATTTGAATCTACACTACCTGAGGATGATTCCACATGAGTTTCATCTTTCCTGTTTCAATGGTTCTTGAGAAGAAGATTTTTTAAGATTTTTCCTATATATTTTCTATGTAAAACTTTGATCGGCGATTTTGGCCCCGCCCTACCCCCGGGGGTCATGACTTGAACAAACTTGAATCTACACTACCTGAGGATGATTCCACATGAGTTTCATCTTTCCTGGCCCAGTGGTTCTTGAGAAGAAGATTTTTAATGATTTTTCCTATATATTCCTCTGTAAAACTTTGATCGGCCATTTTGGCCCCGCCCTACCCCCGGGGGTCATGACTTGAACAAACTTGAATCTACACTACCTCAGGATGATACCACATAAGTTTCATTTTTCCTGGCCCAGTGGTTCTTGAGAAGAAGATTTATAAAGATTTTTCCTATATATTCCTATGTAAAACTTTGATCGGCCATTTTTGCCCCGCCCTACCCCCGGGGGTCATGACTTGAACAAACTTGAATCTACACTACCTGAAGATGATTCCACATGAGTTTCATCTTTCCTGGCCCAGTGGTTCTTGAGAAGAAGATTTTTAAAGATTTGTTCTATATATTCCTATGTAAAACTTTGATCGGCCATTTTGGCCCCGCCCTACCCCCGGGGGTCATGACTTGAACAAACTTGAATCTACACTACCTGAGGATGATTCCACATGAGTTTCATCTTTCCTGGCCCAGTGGTTCTTGAGGAGAAGATTTTTTAAAAATGCCAATAATTTTTCTCTAAATCATGATTATCTCCCCTTGGAAAAGGGCGTGGCCCTTCATTTGAACAAACTTGAATCCCCTTCACCCAAGGATACTTTGTGCCAAGTTTAATTGAAATTGGCCCAGTGGTTCTTGAGAAGAAGATGAAAATGTGAAAAGTTTACGACAACGACAACGCCGACAACGACGACGACGACGACAACGCCGACAACGACAACGACAGACAACGGACAAATTGTGATCAGAAAAGCTCACTTGAGCCTTTGGCTCAGGTGAGCTAAAAATGTTTGTACAATTCAATTTCCAAGGTTTTCAGCGAAAAGCCCGCTAATTCCAGTGAAGGTCCGCGATGTGTAAATTTCATCACGGCAGCGGGAGGTCTTCTTCAGGCCGTGATATTTGGTTATGGTGGACTGCGTTTAAAGGACGACCATCTACAGGTGTCCATCACCGATATTCCAGGAGCATCGGAATGGGCTATGTATGATTTGAAGTACAGAGGGTTCACGTTCGACTTGCATCTGAAAGAAAATTCATTGTCCATAAAAGTTACGGACTCAGAGGACGAAGGGATGTCATTGGTCGTAATGTTTCGAGATGGATCCTATCCGCTTCACAAAGGGGAAGTAAAGGTTTTTGGAAATAGAGCCATAAAGCTCAAAGTGGAGGACAAAAAGTCCCTAAATAACATTAGAGATGGGAATAGTGGGCAATGTCACACATGTAATATCTCGGCGATAGAAATGTGTCTTCTTATTATGATTTTATTGCATTCCATGTGCATAGATTTATTTTAACAACAAAAGTATTTATAAGTTTATTACGTTTTAAGGTAAATACATAACGCTTATTAATTTTGGTTAAATATGTAGTAATGACCATGATTAAAAACAAGTCTTAGAGTTATCCTTCTTTGTACAAGTCTTATTCTTCAAACATTACCAACTCGGCCCAAGTACCTGCTGCGCAGATAGGAATCCGACTGTATTTTTCATTGCGCAATATTTCGCGCATCATAGTAAAATGAAGTGTACTTAATGTTTTAAAGCAACTTTTTTCGCTTAATTATTTAAATTAAAACAAAATTATTAACTGATTTTTTAATCGATTTTGCAATTTATAGGCAGGTTGACGTCGTTACAGTGTGTTTTTGACGTTATGATAAGCTGAAGCTCTTAAAGAAAGGGGTAATAAAAATGTTATCAAAGAAAAAGTAAAAAACATACGCTCTTGAAATTTAAAACATAGAAAGAAATACGCACGCTAACTCTCGATTCCCGACTACATTTTGGAACCGTTTAATTCAATATAAATAGCAAGTTGGCCATAACATCTTTGTTTAATACAAAGAACAGATCAATGGTAATTGATAAATTGTTTGAAACTAGTGCTAAATATTAAATATATCTTATTTCAGCTCTTGAAAAAAGGGGGGTACACGATATTTTTCAGTTTCAAGCATCACCATATTTTGAAATAGTCTTGGATATGATTTTAATGTTACTGATATCTTTTCTTATGTTTAATCCAAATAAAAAAACATAAATATTTCAATAAAATGTAATGTTTCAGTTGTATATCGCTTTGAAATTGATGGAAAATAAGCATTTTTATCGTTTTTGTCAATAAACATATGCCCCCCCCCCCCCCCATGTCACACAAAAAGCTTTCGTATGAATTTGTGAAATAACATTCCATATTACCTGTAAAAAGGAATTTTTTTGACACGGAGGGGAAAGATGTTTTGAAAATATTTTCCGTTTTCCGTCGATTTCTATAGTAAATCAAAGTACTCAGAAGTTCAGAGAGCCGGGCTTATTTACAGATTAGAATGGATTTCTTACATGAATCACGCTTATATTCTGATGAAAATATTATTTTAAAACTATCAATATAAATGATAAGACACTGACAGTGAGTTTTTCAATCCTAATACCACGGTCCGATTTTGTCAGAATTAGAATTAATCTGGTACCGCAGCTGAATGTAAACAAACAGGCCAGTCTGGTCCCCTATCCTGCTTTACCTCGTATGTGTAGAGATCTACGGTAACACTGATTATCAAAAATCCTTACGCTAATGAACTATGTTCTTTGACTTATGAAGTTTTCAAAGTCATTACTACTAATGTTGATTTTATATAGATAAAACTTCGTTTTATTTTTGTTGCTTTATTTAGCATTTGTATTATCTCAAAAGCGGTTGAGAGTAAGAACTATACTTTTGCACGTAACTTTAAAATGGCGACTATGGGGTCAACATCCTGCCTTGAACAGGATCACATAAGCCGGCAATTGCTCTTTGAGCAATAAGCCCGGCTAAAAACACTAGTTTTACCAATATTTTAGAGTTATCTCTCTTTGTTTTCTCTGAAAATCCATATAATTATCTAACAAAAAATATTAAAAATTCATCGAGTATGTTAACTTTTGAAATTTAACTTGGAGGTAGGCGGGAGAACAATACTATCGTTCGCAGTTCTTTGAGAATATCTCCATTATTTTTATCATGTTTTCATATAAATCCTTTGTGACCGTCATATTTTGTAGTACTCTATAAAATCAAAGTACTGAAAGTACTGAAAAGCGGTTAGCATGCTTTCATCTAATATGTACCGAAAAAAGTGCATGAAATGATGATATTTAAGTCTGCATATCTAATTAAAATTAAATGTTCCGAATCCGCTACTGCTTCTCAAACATCTAACAACATCCTATCTTGTCAATAATGATGAGTAACCTGTCAACGAGGGATGCTTACTTCTTCTAGGCAACGGATCCCACCCCTTGAACTTTCAGCAGTCAGTTTTTCTTCTTAAATTGATCATTGATCATTCTGTATTTTGATACAGATACTGAATACTTCCGTTTAGTAATATTATGAACTACTACTTCTACGGGAAGACTGGCGAGTAAGCAAGATTATCAAGCTTTATGAAATGTACTTTATTGACTTTTCAAACAAGTAAATGTTCGAATAAAGTAAATGGTATCTGAGAATCATTTAAAAGAAGTCTTGCACAATATGTCTAGATAAGGACATATAATGTGTATTTGCCATATACTCTTCATGCAATATTGTTCTCAAATAAAACATGTGAAAAGGAAAGTTGTCTAATCAATCAATACTAGTATTTAAAAATTCAAATGTACACTAAAAGTCAGTGTAACGTTAAGAAGTTATCAGTGTCACTTTCTTCAATATGTCGGTTAAACAATATACACTGATTTCTTTTCTATCAATGTGCCTCTAAACACCTGTATTTTAATTTAATTCTTCTCAAACGCTCAAAATAATAATCGACAAATTGGCAAATTTGAAAATTCAAATTTAAAAAGTATTTTCACAGCTAATAATACGTACGTTCCCTATGAATTGATCAAATTTTCAAAACTTAAAAGTAAGCATTAAGTATATATTTTAATTTTTGCTAATTGCCAAGATTTTTCATACCTCATTCTTCTGTGAATAATAATATCGGTTGATTTTTGGACGAGGATCACAATGCCGATTAAAATTAATATATATTTAACCTTTTTTTTTTTCAAAATTAATTTTACTACTTCAAGTGCCCCATTATTTTTTTCAAAAATAAAAGTAAGTGATTCCTTATGATCGTTTGTAATAAATTATCAAAGACGGAGTAGAGAATTTACCCCTGGGAGCAGAGCTTTTATAATCTGTTTATTAGACAGAGAAGAAAAGAGAGGAAAAAAAAACGTTTCATTGTGGAGGTAATCCTATTGTTTCCATAAAAATGTTACAAAAAGTGTAAAACTTACAGACGTATTCGGTGTTTTTATAAAAGCGTTTTTCAGGTATTACTTAACTTAATAAATGGTGTTTCTCAATACTTTGGCAAGGAAAATCAAACTCGATCGAGAGATTTGCTGATGTTTTTGCAGTCTGTTATAACCTTCAACCTGCTGTATAATTTACCGTATCGTTCAACTTTCAAAAATAACTAACAGTTGCTATAAATCGCGATCGCACGATGTACATGTAATAAGGACCAAATTCTCAGTTCTTTGAAGTTAGTTTTCTAAGTATTGTCAATGCTTTGGTAAATACTAATAAGAATTCGATATAATCGTTATAATAGCCACTCTTCATACACAGCATATTGTCAATCTCTCACCAGGGGGCGTATTACGCCAACAGTATACAAATCATAGGAAGCGCTTTGCTGAAGTTACCGTTGTCGATAGGTAGCGCCTTGTGGAAGTTTCCGGTTTTGGTTGCAGAAGGATAAGGTTACGTGCCATGAAGCGATGTCGATAGGTAGCGCCTTATGGAAGTTTCCGGTTTTGGAGCCATGCCATAAAGCGGTTAGCCAGCTAACCGCTTAAAAAGGAAAATTCGTCAATTTTTGGCATTTTGAGATGCCCCCTCTGCTTAAAAGACGGTAGAATTTGGTATTTCTTCTATATATTGTTCAATACAGTATTACTCATCAAATATTATAGTTTGAACAAAAAGTATATTGTAGTATTTGTATAATTTGCTTTAAAGTGCTAAAATTGGCATTTTCCTATATATTCCTATAGTAAATGTACCTGTATTTTGAGACGGTCCCTTAAAAATACCTGGACGGTAGATTTACCCCAAACTTGGCATGTACACTGAAGTTAATGTAAATTATATATGGTATAAAAATGTTAAATATATATGGTATATATGGTATAAAAATGAAGAGTTTCGCTTTTGTAGTTTTCACAAAATAAAACCCCAGTCGGCCCCCTTAAGCAAGAGTTATTCCCCATGGTCGCCATGTTGTAGGGCAACATTCCAAGATTCCTTCATCATTCAACCAAGTTCAATTTTTTATACTGGTTGTTATACAGGGGCCAGTTTCACAAACCTGTTTTATGACTAAGATCTGTCTTAAGGTAGTCCGATCCTCAGGTTTATAAAATTAGCAGTTAAGTAATCAAAAATACTTATAAAAGTATCTCTGAATCCACAAAGTTATGTAAATTTATCCACAATGTTTCTTTTTAGTTAAAGATTAAAGTTAATCATGTTATATAGGGAAAATTATCAAATCTTCAATATTTTTGCTGAAAAGGCGAATTGGAATATCAGCAATGAATTTTCTAATTGCAAATTGATCAACAAATATATTTTAAGTTAAAAAACGATAGGTATCCAGGCATGCAGGGAAATTGTCAGGATTTTTATACTTATTTGGTATTTTTTGTCTTCTATTTCTGTTATGTATTCTGTAATACATAGTGTAAAAAGCGTTCTCTATCATTGCCAGACATCACAAATCACTTCTCATTTCATACCATGCTAATAAGCATTGGTATCTTAGGCTGGATTCAAGAAAATCTTATTTCTCTAAAACTGTGTGATTTTTTTTTCTTTCATAGGGTACAAATGTCAACTATTATAAGACCTTTTTAAGGACTTTCAAAAACTTTGAATCTTATAAAGATGAGTAAAATGAAAATTGTTGCATGAAAAAAATTCATTTTTAAGCTTCATTTTGATGCAATTCAAATAAAATATTAATTTTTGGAGTTATCCTTCCTGGCTGAGGATCGGATATCCTTAAGACCGAAAATTATCTTAAGATTGCACCACAGCTGTTTCACAAATTATTAAAACTGTCATATCTTATGATAATCCTAAGATCTATCAAAATCTTAAGGCAACTAGATATATGTCTGGCGACAGTATATATTTTGGCTAGAAACTGCACTTCAGATTCCTTTGGTTGTTAATTTAAAAAAATATACATTTACTACACGTGTATACATGTACGTATTCATAACATGAAGTGACCTATATACATATATATTTACATTTTCAATGTCTTTGTCCGGGATAAAATTACAAATTGTAAATGTACTTTATTTCCTTTCCCCATCAATGTATTGGCGCGGTTCCAAAAAAAAAAAAAAACACGTGCATGGCGGAACAAACAGCTAGACAGAAGCAGGGCTTGGAGCACGTGGATTGGCGGAATCAAAGCATGTAAATACTAGTATAAGGAATAATTGTCAATTTTCAATTTCATGACGATGATCAATCGATTGGCTTGCATGATAATTTTAAGCATAAACGCCTTCGGCGTTTATGCAAATAATCACGCAACCCAATCGGTTGATCACATCATGAAATCGAAAAATAAGACAGTTATTCCTTAAGTAACCCCTACATAATTATCCCACTTTAGACCAGGAAGTATAAACACGTGACATGTAGATAACACAGGTGTGTCATGTGGTCAGAGTACATAGAGACTCTACTTGGAGATTGATCAAGGACAACCGCCATCACTAAAGTCAGGTAATAATGTTTTTAGTATTTCTGTGCATAACAGTTCAGAGTCGTTGAAAATTCAATACTTCAGGCTTTAACTAAGGGTATGAAATTTAATTCCCACAAAAATTCAGTGAACCTTGTATATATGTAATATGATGATCTGTTTATTTACATGTGTATTCACCTATGGCCTCAGTCAAACTGTTGTTTTGGAGTCCAAAAACTGATGAATGTACCAGTTTAATCATTAAAGTTATTTTTTTATGCTTTAGTCACAAAACGTAACGATGGAACCCCGTACCAGTGCCCAGGATGTGATGCGATGTGACCTGTGTGAGACCGCTGTGGTACAGATGCACTGTGATACATGTCTTGTCAACCTGTGTAAGGCCTGCGTGGGAGAACACATTTCAACAGATGAATTCAAGGATCACAAAGTTGTTAAATTTCAGGACAGGGAATCCACTCCCCTCTACCCTGGTTGTAAATTCCATGACAAAGAACGATGTAAAATGTACTGTAATCAATGTGACATTCCTGTCTGCCATAAGTGTATTGGATCTGATCAACATCTAGGTCATAAGGTATCAGAAATCTTAAGAGTTGTGGATGAAAGAAAGAATGAATTCATAAAAGAACAGACTGAATTAAATGTGACAATTTATCCCACCTACCAGGACATCGCCTCTAATATACAAAACAGAATGAGTCAGTTAGAAAAGGAATATGGAGATCTCTCAACAGCCATAACAAAACATGGAGAGGACTGGCACAGAGAAATTGACAAACTGGTCAAGAAACTTAAAGCTGAAGTTGATGAAATGAAAAACACACAGTTACAAACTCTACAGAAACATCTGGATGAAATAAACAAGACAATATTTGATATCAAGGATGAAATCGATTCATTGGAAACTGCAACAGACACCAATGACTTGTCAAAAATGTTTAGTGTCAGATCCAATGTACACACATACAGAAATCTTCCACACAAAATCAATCCGTCGTTACTTAAATTTATACCAGGAAAAATCCAAGGAGAAGAACTTAGTAAGCTGTTTGGAGCCATATCACTAAGTTCTTCAACATCAGATAAACATGGCTACAGCATGAAGACAACACAGAAATCACCAGAAGCTGGATCCTCTCCTCCAGTCAAACAGCTGCTTGATAAACCAGAGACTGTCACCACCATAGACACTGGGTATAAATATTTCCTTTACAATGTGGCCTGTCTGAGTGATGAAGAAATCTGGACAAGTGGAGATGGCAGCACCATGAAACTCTACAGCATCAATCAGGGATCAGAACTCAAGTCAATCACAACCAAGTCAGGGCACTATCCATCTAACATAGCAGTGACAAAAAGTGAAGATCTAGTTTATACTGATTATGATAATAGAACTGTGAACATTGTGAAGAATGAGAAGATAGAGGAGGTGATCATACTAAAGAACTGGAAACCTAAAGGTGTGTGTAGTACCTCCTCTGGTGACCTCCTGGTTATTATGGACAGTGATGATAGGAAACAAACAAAAGTTGTCCGTTACTCTGGCTCCACAGAGAAACAAGCCATTCAGTTTGATGACAAAGTTAAACCTCTCTATTCACCTAGTATTCGTTATCCAAGATACATTAATGAGAACAGGAACCTGGATATTTGTGTGTCTGACGAGGGAGCTAATGCAGTAGTGGTGGTCAATCAGGCCGGGAAACTGAGATTCAGGTACACTGGACATACTTTTTCTCCAAAGAATGATCCATTCAGTCCACGAGGAATCGCCACAGACAGTCAGAGTCATATCCTTATAGTTGATCGTAACAATGACTGTGTCCACATCATAGACCAGGATGGACAGTTCCTCCGTTACATAGAATGTGGACTGAGTAAACTCTGGGGACTGTGTACAGATACAAATGACAATCTGTTTGTTGCTCAATATGGAAATAGACAAGTGAAGAAAATCAAATATCTGCACTGAAATGCACTTATACTTTGTTGTATTCTATATAAATATAGAGGTACTAGATGTAATCCCGAGCAAGCGTGGGAAATTGAATTCATAGTTGCCACTACCGACAGAAAATATATTGTAATTTCTACTGGCAGCCTACAGGCTTATAGAAGGAAGAAATGCTTTGTTCAAAATCCCGTTTGTCACAACTGCACCCCATCCCCTTTTTTAGCTCAAGTGAGCTTTTCTGATCAAAATTTGTCCGTTGTCTGTCATCGTCGTTGTCGTTGTTGTTGTAAACTTTTCACATTTTCATGTTCTTCTCAAGAACCACTGGACCAATTTCAACCAAACTTTCTACAAAGTATCCTTGGACTAAGGGGATTCAAGTTTGTTCAAATGAAGGACCACACTTTCTTCTAAGGGAAGATAATTATGAATTAGTGAAAAATTAATGGCATTCTTAAAAAATCTTCTTCTCAAGAAACACTGGGCTAGGAAAGATGAAACTCGTGTTGAATCATTCTCAGGTAGTGTACATTCAAATTTGTTCAAATCAGGACCCCCGGGGGTAGGGTGGGTCCACAGTGGCCGATCAAAGTTTTACTTAGGAATATATTGGAGAAATCTTTGAAAATCTATTTCTCAAGAACCATTGGAACAGGAAAGATGAAACTCATGTTGAATTATCCTCAGGTAGTGTACATTCAAGTTTGTTCAAATCACGACCCCCGGGGGTAGGATGGGGCAAAAAATTGCCGATCAAAGTTTTACATAGGAATATATAGGAAAAATCTTTAAAAATCTTCTTCTCAAGATCCATAGGGACAGGAGAGATGAAACATATTAATTCATCCTCAGGTAGTGTACATTCAAGTTTGTTCAAATCATGACCCCAGAGCCACAATGGCCGATCAAAGTTTTACATGATAGGAATATATAAGAAAAATCTTTAAAAATCTTCTTATCAAGATCCATTGTGACAGGAAAGATGAAACTCATGTTGATTCATCTCAGGTAGTGTACATTCAAGTTTGTTCAAATCATGACCCCCGGGGGTAGGGTAGGGCCACAATGGTTGATCAAAGTTTTACATAGGAATATATAGGGAAATCTTTAAAAATCTTCTTCTCAAGTACTGCAAAGCCATGATTATTGATATTTATGTGGAAGCATCTTCAGGTAGTGTAGATTCTAGTTTGTTCAAATCATAACCTCCAGGGATAGGGTGGGGCCACAATGGGGGTAGGGAGGGAAACAATGGGGAGTCAAATTCAAATTATTACAAAGTAATATATACAAACAAAATGTTAAAAAAATCTTTTTCTGAAGAAGTTATATGCAGTATTGATATGGAGGCATTCTCAAGTAGTATTAGAATTCAAGCCCCCCACCCCACCCCCCTTCAGTAAACCTTTCATTTTCGATTTGATTTGTGCTTTTTCCTAGCTCAGGTGACCGATGTGGCCCCTGGGCCTCTTGTTGTAATAATGTGAAAAATATTAAATTCATTAATTGATGTTTATTGAGAAGCATGTGATACTATGTGTTGGATATTGTACTTCAGAATCTGTGTCCCATGCTTAAGGACAAAATTGGCGTATGCGCGGATCTAGAAGTAGTGGATTGGTCGAGAGGGGGACACTTTAGGAAGGGCGGAGCCAAAGGGAGTCATAAAATTTCATTGCAAAAGCTAAAGCTTCTTGAGATATCACCCAGAATCCAAAGTTTAATACACGCAGAAAGAATGTATAAAATATGTCCTTGATCCTTGACCTCAAAATTAATAGGGATCTATCTCTTTAGGCCACAGTGATTTGGGTATAAAATTTCATTGCTAAAAACCAAAAGCTTCTCGGATATCCCTCGGAAATGATTATGAAAGTGTTGAAACAGAAAGAATTTATGACTTTGATCATTGGCATTTTGACCTCAAAATCAAGTGGGGTCTTATTAAATTTATCCGTGCCATATGGAGTTGTTATGCAAACTTTGCAAATGCTGAGAGGCCTCTCAATAGTCGAGATACATTGCGAAAACGAAAAGTGTTACAGACAGAAAGACAGATTCTCAATATGAATTAGCTTGTTAAAAAGTTGTGATTTTCCGCATTTTTTCTGAAACAAATAAAATGTGGATAGGGAAATGGCTGAGTAAACTGTAATTATGCTTGTTTCCGTCCTATTAAACACTATTTGCATTGATATAAAAATGATTTCATCTCAAAATCACAAAATCATTTGACATCTGAATCAATCTTTTTCACAGCAATATTTCATGATCATGCTATCTAATTTAGAATTTGAACCAGACACTCGCCTGTCTCCGTAAATCTCCGACGAGCAGTGATGCTGATCGGAGACTTACGGAAACAGCCGAACGTCTGATTGAACGAGGTGTTGCCATTGGTGACGACGTCACTCTTAGAAACCACAAGGAACCGTTGCGATGTGGTTACTGTCGTTAGTTACTCAATTCGATTTGTTGAGAGCAGACGTGTTTTTCACAGAGCGACAAAAATATCAGATTATCATTATGAAAAGAGAAAGATCTTGCGAAAGAAGAAGCAAGAATGTATCTAAGAGGGTAATTCGTCAGAAAATAAATTATTTTTTTGGATTTTATTGTTTGTTTTCGTAAGATAGAATGAATTCTAATGCAATAGTTTTATAAAACACTATTTGATTGGCTAATGCACTGATGTTTGAAGCAGTAAAAGGAGCATTAACGAGCGTGAAAGCTTTTTCATTGTGACGTCATAATAGAGCGACGCAAAAACACAATGCTCCGTGACGTATTTCAATAACAAAATTCATCAAAATAAGACGTAAACAACAAACAAAATGCATGGATTGCATTAGAATGGGAATAACTCATTTTCTAATTTGGTATTTGCGACCGTTAATGCTGATTTAACGGTCGCAAACATCCGTTTTACCGGCTCCGCTTACGCGTCGCCGGTAAAACTCAGTTTGCGACCGTTAAATCAGCATTAACGGTCGCAAATACCAAATTAAAAGATAGTTATTCCCTAATTTTACGACGTCAAAGGGTAAAACGAGAGACGTGTTAAAATTACTTAAAATGTTTTGAGAAACAGTCTTATTTAACCGGCTTAGAAATGCATAAATTACATGTAGATCTATATAGGGCCTTGTATGAAAAATGGAGGGGTTTGTAGTGTTTGGACAGGGCATGCATGATACCAGAACAAAAATACAGGATCTAAGATATTGATTAATTGTGAGAGGAAAACATCACTCTTAATCTCGTTTGATATTATCAGGCTTATTTTTTTTTAAACCTTGCCTTATTTAGGCCTCAGTGTAGAAAAGTTGACAAATTTATACAAAATTAAAATTTAACTATTTTTCATATAACATGAGGAAAAAGATGAAAGAGGAAATTCGGTTTAGATAAATGTTTGTAATTTTTTCATTTCATTCTAGTTTTTTTTAAGCTTTAGTCAGTTAGGCCTAATCCTGTTTTATCCGTTATCAAACTTACCTCAATCTTAAAATTATCCCGCTAAATGCTAATAAGGACATCTTATTTCTCTCGATCATTCTGTAACATAATCAGTTGATAATAGAAAAGGGGAGATTGCTGGGAGCAATCGCTATGGGAGTTGTTTCCCCTTGATCATTAAATGTATACTATCTTTAGGGCCTATGCTTTTTTAATGTAAAATTCGCACTCTCTGCTACATGTACCTCATACTTTTGGCAAGCGTCGTTTTTTTTTTTTAAATCTATTCAATACAAAAATGATTCTTTTTTTTTTTTTGAAGAGTATGACTTGCAACGATACCCACCCCATGTATATATATTGGGCTTCAATAAAAATTAATAATTCGATCGCAATTTCACATTTTAAAAAAGCAGTCAAATTTCAGATTTAAAAATCATAGAAAAGCATTACATGGAAAAGCATTTCACTCTGCTACATGGGGGGGGGGGGGGGAGGGGGGCTGCCCAACCCGGAGTTATTAAATTAAAGGCTGGATTTTTTTCCTTAGTTGGAAACCTCCCAACCCCCCCAACCCCCCGGAAAAAATTGTTTCTGTAAAAAGTGCCTGTGGTAGAAGCCTTTTATTCTTATATATCAGGCCCATAGAAAGGAATTTTAGTTGGGGAGGGGAACGACCATAGTAGTTTAAGGGCTATCAATCCCCCCGTGCCTCCTGTACCTACGGCCATGTATAGATACATACAAGTTATGTATTTGAAATTACTTTTTTTATCTACATGGGTTAGTTAGAAGATTAAAATTTTGAAGTTTTTTTTAAAAATGTATTTAAATCTATCTGGTATTTTAAATCAGAATTGTGAAAATTTGACTCCATTAAATTTATGATAAACAAGATTTCTTGTTGTAATTCTATAGCGCCGTGTAGAGGCTTCTTCAGATGAAAGTCGTCAGTGGTATGAGGTGATGCTTGCCCTGGCGGCCAAATCAGCTGTAAGTCTCTCTCTCTCTCTCTCTCTCTCTCTCTCTCTCTCTCTCTCTCTCTCTCTCTCTCACCCCCTTCTCTCTCTCGCTCAACTCCCCTCTCTCTCTGTCTCTGTCTCTCAACCCCTCTCTCTCACGCTCAACCTCTCTCTCTCTCTCTCTCCGTGTTTCTTTCTAAACCTCTTAATCCATTTCTATAATATTCTCTCCAGTACAAGCAAGACTTTGCTTCTGATGTTCATGAATGGAGAGATCACATTCGGGACTGGGTAAGAATCTGAATGAGGGCATTTTTTGCATCAAATTCACTTCCTTGTCTGTCTTATGTTCATACCTACTTTATTTTACTTTATTTTGGTTATCATGTTTGATAAGATTACTTCTATCTGTTTTAGCGTGAGTTGACCAGCGCCATCAATAAGTCTGAGGAGCGTAGGGAGCTTCCTACCATACCACAACCTACGCACAAGGTATGTGTCGGGCTTCCTATCAATATAAGAATATTTTAATTAAGACAGGAAATAAATTCTGTTTACTTCCTTTTTCTAAAATATACCTGTACAAATGTGAAAATAAAAAAAAACTAAACCTTTTTTAATATTTCCCTAATAGGTGTATGTCATTTGAACTGAAATAACAATTACTAGTATATGATACCCTGTATTTTTACTCTACAACAGATCGAATGGTTGGCCAGAGTCAATTTTAAGCACAGACCAGTGCGCCGTGTCGTGCCAGAACAGAGACGTTATCACACAGTCTCTAGGAAACAAGACATGAATTCCTCCTTTTACGTCTACTGAGGAGAGGACTGATATTGGTGAGCCCTTCTCCTGAGTACAATAGTTCATAAATACATGCATATTAATTTTACGACAGTTGAATAATTTTTAGCTCTACTGGTCATGGGGCATAAAAGCTTTTACGATAGTAAGGAGTCCATCGTTTGTCTACGGAAGCCCGTTGGTGCCACGTACGAAAAATATTTTATCTGGAGGCCGCCACTTACATATCTGGCGTCCTCCACTTATTATTTGGCGGCCGCCACTTATGTATCTGGCGGCCGCCACATAACTTATTTTGCAAAAGGTGGGTGTTATTGGGTTAAGAAGATGGATGTTGACACAGCCGCTGCTTATTGATAAAAATAAGAATTCTGAAATATTGGAACACCATTCTTAGAAATCCAAAATGCAAAACTTTATTTAATTCTCAACCAATCATAGCTTACAGTAAACACAAGAATATAGGTGACGAGATAACCCGGTCTCACCTAATACTAACACCATGATTTATGTCCGTGACCTCTGATGAGGCTTCTGAATAACCGAAACACTCTACAAATACTTGCATAATTCAAATCAAATATTAATCTGCTCTATGCAAAAATATATCTACTAGAAGTGTGGATTGGAGTGTTGGTTCATTATAAATCTCTTACAAGTTTGGTTGATTGATGTCGCTATTATAATTTTTACACTGTATCCACCTCTGATATCACACGTTAAAACATGCGCGTGCATCAGGAAGCCAGGTGTTATCTGGCGGACGTCATATTAGTTACACAGTCAGATAGTGACCTAATACGGATTCATACAGGGTGTGAAATGGAAATCCGTATTGGGCGAGGCGAAGCCGAGACCCAATACGGATTTCCATTTCACACCCTGTATGAATCCGTATTAGGTCACTAACTGACCGTGTTACGAATTTATCCCGCTGAAGACCTTTTTCAATATAAAAAAAATATTTGTGCATATTATGAAAATAATATGTTGACGGTGCGACCGTCATGGCGAGCGCAGATATTGATTTTGTTATAATTATAAATAATTTAGATCGGGCTCGTCAAACTGCACGTGACATTTGGTGCGTCTAGACTCTGACGTCACATGATGTTAATGTAAGTTACATTTCCAAAAAGAAGCCTGGACTGTGCTGAAAGTAAATGAAGAACGTTTTGTTTACGATTTATCTTCAATATTTATTTCTTAAATCAGGGCATGTTTACTTTTTGTTAAACTTTTAACGTTATTCTCGTGAGCACGTGGCTTTAACAACTGATGCATTGTGGGTCCAACTTACTGCGTCAAAAAATTCTATCGAATGAATGTGCAGTAGTCCGAATTTTCTCTTCGCACAGGCGTTGCTTGAAGAGCTCGCAGTGACGAGCGTCGCTTCGCGACGCTCGCTGCGCTCGCTATTAAGTTTTAATCCAATAACAATCAACATAAAATATCGTTACGGTAACAAGAAATTTAACTAAACTATCGACATAAACCGTTTCTTAGCCGCCATTTTTATTTACAATAACAACACTTCGAACGAAATCGCCTGCCCGATTTTCATATTACGCCTCGACGGAGACGTAATACTGTAACGGAGACGTAATACGGAAAATTTCAGGGCGTCACGTGATTCGCTTTTATCCAATCAGCAATCGACAAATTTGTCTGAAGCGGGATAATATAAATTATGTGGCGGCCGCCAAATATTTGTGTAGCGGCCGCCAGATATATAAGTGGCCGCCGCCGGATAAATATTTGGCGGCCGCCAGTTAAATATGTGGCGTGTTATATAGCGGCCTCCAGATAAATATTTGGCGGCCGCCAGATATTAAGTGGCAGCCGCCAGATATTTAAGTGACGGCCGCCAAATAATAAATGGCGACCGCCACATAATTATCTGGCGGCCGCCAGATAAATATTTTTCGTACGTGGCACTAACAGGCTTCCGTATTTGTCAGCCTATCCGTCCGTCTGTAAACAATTTTTCAAAATGACACTCCAGTTGTAGTCTGATTTCAATATATTAAATAACTTTGCACCTATTAAAGCAGATTACTCAAAGATACATGATTAAGTACCCCAGTTTCAACTGCAAGGGACTTTTTTCTTGTCTTTTTTTTGTATGCCAGTAGTCTGTAAAGCTACAGTCTCATCAGAGTTTTCCAGTTTTTTTTAAATAGTATTCTTTTGCGCATTAATGTTTTCCCCTTTTCTTGCAGATTATGCATGGTCGTAAATGGTGTTTATGCAAATGTCAGAAGCCGAATGGCCGCCTCTACCATCTTGGTACCACTGTACTCGTTTTTGATGATTCACACTTACGAAGTGTTCATAGCTATATTCTGGGACCATAATATGGTGTATTACATTGTGGAACCATTACATGGTGTATTACATTCTGGAACTGTTACATAGTGTATTACATTCTGGGATCATTAGATGGTATATTACGTTCTGGGAATTTTACATCGTGTATTGCATTCTGGGACCATAATATGGTGTGTTACATTCTGGGACTGTTACATGGTGTATTACATTCTGGGACCGTTACATGGTGTATTGCATTATGGGACTGTTACACCGTGTATTACATTCTGGGACCGTTACATAGTGTATTGCATTATGGGACTGTTACACCGCGTATTACATTCTTAGGTCGCTGCATGCATCACTGAACACAAGTGTTGATGGACAAGGCATTTCTTACATATCTTGCAGACATACGTAAGCGTGCGTCAAGTACTATTTTGCAAAGCTTAAACCCATTTGCCTTCAAAAGGCACTGGCAGAGACTTATTGTTTTTATACTGTTCATGGACTGCTCTCCTCAGACTGGGTGACAACCCCCCCCCCCCCCCACCCCTTTTATGGTCTATGTGTGATTAGACAATGACATTGCGAAAGTTTTTGACCATCTTGGAAGCTTGTGCTCTGGCTTTGACCATGCCTCTATTTGACATTGCATTTTTATGCGGTCATGTTGACACGTGTGATGACGTATGCAAAGACAATGCTTGTGTCATTATAGATTTTCTTTTTATTATTTTGTAATTTTTATATGCTTTTATTAATCTGTACAAAGCTGACTTACATAATTATGCACTTTGTGCACATTTGTATAATTATAGTTCTTGCATGATTTGTTTTCATTGTTGAAATAAAATATGCTTTGATTTTCTTTTGCATATAAAGTTCTAGCTTTATCTTTGTTGTTGTTGTTGAAATAAAATTTGCATTAAATCTATTTTGTTTATATAGTTCTTTGCATGATCTTTTTTTTTACCCCCCGCTTGAAAAGAGGGAGGGTATATAGTAATCGGTATGTCCGTCTGTACGTCCGTCGAGCTGTACGTCCGTCCGTCTGTCTGTTACGCTTTGGGGTACCCATCTCTTATCCGCAACTCCTCCTATACCAATGAATGAAAATTGATGAAACTTTCACAGAATCTTTATTACATATTGCCATTGTACACCTATTTTATTTTTCGATCCGACTTATATTTCGGGTTTTCCACAACAAAACATGCATTGGACACTCCCGTTATAGTCATATGGGGGCGCTGGGTATCATTTAGTGAGCTCATTGCTCAAAGTACCTCTAGTTTTATTGTTGAAATAAAATATGCTTTTAAAATTTTATTCAGCATTACCAAGATAGTAACTGTGATTCCGATTAATCGATCAATGCACGAACATCTAAAAGAATTGGTTAAAATAGTAAGAATTTGTCTATTTAAGTACCAGTCCACATAAAAATCAGACAAAGGGTGATATATGAGGGTTCTCAGAATTTGATGATTTTTCACTCATAGATTTATTTTGAAGTATGAACAATGTATGTAAAATGAAAAATGTTTTGAGTCTTGGTAACCATGGAAACCCGGCCAAAGAAATTTCCTTAGCAACGGGCGGATTTTTCAGTGTTGAAGGTCAAAAAATCACCTATCTTTGAGGCTTAAAATAACACGTAAATACCATGAGAATTATTCTTACTTATGAGTGTAATAAAGATACACATTTATTGTGTTCTAATAATGTAATAAAAAATATTTAGGTCTTAAGTCAGTTCCGTGGTAGACATTGGAAGGTACACATGTTTTACAAGTTTTGCTGATTCAGCATTTTTCGGGATTTTGGCAATATTCAAGGCCAAATTTCAAAAATGGCCAGATTAATACAGTTGTTGCATGTATCTCACATAAAAGCAGAGGTATTTCTCTTTTAGAATTTGAAGTCAATTCCATGGGCTCTTTTGAAAATCGAATCTGTTGCCTAGCAACAAAAATGGGCTTTTTGATGCATAAAATGAGAAACAATGTAAAAAGTTTAAGGAAAAATCAAATGAACGGTTATTGATGATAAACGAGATTCCAATTTTAAAATAGTTTAATTAAATTTAGACTCAATAGCACATAATTGAATATTGCATAATTCTTTATCTCCATAGCAACAGCAGGTTCTCCATAGCAACAAGGCAAAGAAAGGTAATTTTGGCGTGTATTCGTGTAATCTTATTAAGGCTTATTCAAAATAAGTCAGAAAAATCCGGTTGAGCAAATTGACAATGAAATGTTGGTTTTAATATTGTTATTTTTTATGCGCCCGGATCGATAGATCCAGGACGTAGATTGTTTTTGTCCTGTCTGTCTGTCTGTCCGTCTGTCTAGCTGTCTGTCTGTTGTTTGTTTGTCCCGAACTTTAACCTTCACCATAACTTTTGAACCATGAAAGATAGAGACTTCATATTTAGTACGCATACTCCACTAATTAAGCTCTTTCAAATGACACCAAGGTCAATGACCTTGTGACCTTGACTGTGGCCTATATGCTAAAAATAGCTTTTTTCTGCAAACTTTAACCTTCGCCATAACTTTCGAACTATGAAAGATAGAGACTTCATATCTGGTATGCAAACTCCACTAATTATGTTCTTTCAGGTGACACCAAGGTCAATGACCTTGTGACCTTGACTGTGATCTTAATGCTAAAAATAGCTTTTTCCGAACTTTGTTGCCGCCGGGCGCATAGTGTTTCACAAACACATCTTGTTTTTTGGTACTTAATCAACCCAAATGTCAAGGGTTCTGTGTACATGACAACCAAAGTTCCTATGTCTCCTGTAAAACAGATTTGACTTTGAGATTGTATTGTTTGTCATGGAATTGGATATTTAAGTAATATGCTGATAATTGCATGTTGATAGTTCGGAAAGACTTTAAAATATTGTATCAAGTTATTGAATATTGTTCGATGACTTATTTCCATAGCAACAACACCACTCCCCTAGCAACAACACAAAGAAAGTTTGACCTTTATTCATGTTACCTGTAAATCTTTATCTAAATCATGTCATGAAGAAAAATAAATGATGTTGAAATGTTTGTTTTTCGAAAGTATTTTTAAACTCATTTAATCCATAACAACTACATGTATTTCTAGCACATAGCAAACAATGTTACATTGTCAGTATGGGATACTCTGTAGTCGTTATTCGTAATATTGAAAGATTAGGCACTTGTCACAGATTTCTCAGAAAGTATTACATTGTATGAATTAATTCCTCATGAAAATAAATAGATAAATAAAATGAATAACGTCACTATGGAACATTTCCCATGATATTTCCAATTGAATAGGAATATCAGGTTTTAATTATTCTATTGATACTTGTCATAGATTGGAAAGTTTTTTTTTTCCAAACGAAAAAAAACGTTTGCGGTAGCTCAAAGGTAGCACCTACTGTGTCCCACAGTGGGATTCGAACCCGCGACAAAAGGATCAGCTCCTTACTTCGTGACTCTAGGGAAGACGCTCTAACCACTGTTCCATGAGGGCGACACGGCACATTAAAATAAATCAAAATAAGAAAAGTAGCATCGCAGTCAGTTACGGTTATTTACGTAAAATTGAAGTTTACACCATTTGAAAGAAATATTGCAAGATGTCCAAAGCTAGATCAAATACAAATGAATTTAAAACATGGCTAGTCACACAATTAGAAACTTTATTTTTTGTTTGTTGTTTGGTGAGATTTGCATTGATGTAGTGCAAACATATTTTAAAAATTATGCAAACGATGGTCAGATTGTCATCTTCATGTATCTGGTTAGTTCATATCTTAAAATCTAAATATTATGCAACAAAAACAAAACAATTGAGATCGAACTCATCCATGTAACGCAGGGCCCATGGGCCACATCGCTCACCTGAGCACTGTGGTTAGGAAAAATCAATTCAGTAAATGCGTAAGTAGTCCCGATCCTAAAGGGGGGGGGAGGAAGTGATTTGAACAAACTTGAATCTACACTAATTAAGGGTGCTTACTTATTTTTTGACTAACTGTGGCTTTATTCAGGGACGTAGCAACCAGGGGGGCAAGGGGCGGCCTGCACCCCCCCCCCACTTTTTTCCCCAACATAACCTTTACTATAGTAAATGTTCATTGATAGGATGCTTGCCCCCTCCCCCCCCCCCCCACTTTATAACCATAGGAAAGTGATATCAAGGATTGTAGGGAAAAAATTGGAAGTGATAGTAAGTTGGCCCTCGAAATAGGATTTTCGAGTTTGGACAACTTTTAATTTTTTTTTTTTTTTTTTTTTTTTTTTTTTTTGCTTGTCAATTTTTTCAGGTAAGTAAAAAAAAATTTTCTGGTTGGCCCCCCTACTTTCAAAAACGATGCTACGTGCCTGTTATTGCAAATAAGTTATGTACTTTTGTTGCCCACCCAATCCTGGGGGTCATGATTTTAACAAATCTTTATCTAAACTACCTGAGGATACTAACATTTGAACAAAACCAATCAAGATTTTTATATATTTTTCCTATATATTCCTATGTAAAACTTTGATCATCCAGTGTGGCTGTACCCCCGGGGGTCATGATTTGAACAAACTTGAATCTACACTACCTGAGGATGCTTCCATATAAACATGACCAATCATGGCTTTGCTGTTATTAAGAAGAATATTTTTCCTATTTATTTCTATTTAAAACGTTGGTCGTCCATTGTTGCCCCGCCCTACCACCGGGGGTCATTACTTGAATAAACTTGAATGTACACTACCTGAGGATGCTTCTACATAACTTTCGTCTTTCCTGGCCCAAAGTTTTTACATTAATACATTATTAATTAGATTGTTTAGACAAGATGATATGGTCATTACGCACATGCATTCACATGTGCACGCATGCAATGCTAAAATTTGAATGAACTTGGTACACTTCTGGGGAAACGTTGTTTAAGTGTCAAATGCATAAATCGTTTGTCTTCTTTAATGAAGCTTAGAGGGAATATGGCATCAAAAGGGAGTTAGGGAGCGTCTGGGGAACATCTGTAACGGTCCCTGTTACAATTAGCACTAGTTTATATTGATATGGTGGCAAGAAGTATAAAATTCAAGTCCACCCCCCTTCCCCAAGTAAACTTTTGAGTGCTGAGCTGATTTGTTTTTACCTAGCCCATGTGCTCAGGTGAGCGATGTTGGAGGTTGCTCCTACTAATTTGATATGGGCCTGTTCTCTGGGTAATAGCGTTTGAAGCTCCAGAGCTACAGATTCCTTGTGAACTGAATAAGCGTCATCTTCCCAACAACAAGTTAAAGACACAGGCACCTGACGTTACTTATTTTTCTTTTAATAAAAAAGAATATACACGTACCTAACGTTTATTATTAGGTATGTGTATATTTTTTTTATTAAAAGAAAAATAAGTAACGTCAGGTGCCTGTGGTTAAAGATACAAGCTTATAAATATCTTATCTTTTGAAAAATGG